TGACTATGAACAGAGTAACTATGTTTAACTTTGTAGATTTTGTATATATTTGCCCCGTTTTTGCTTGATTAACGTTTTGAAAAGAAACAAAAATATCAGAAACCTCCGAAAATCCTTTTTTTAACAAAATATTCAAAAACAAAAATATTTAAACACGCAGATTATTTGTTCGTTCTTCCTGACGTTTCCTGCGCGTGATTTTCTATTCTCTCCTCTCTACACGCCCGAACCCTTCCATCCGATCGACTGGGTCGCACGAGCAATGTTTCCGAGGACCCCGACGCGAATGCTGGTCGTTTCTGCGGGGAACGTGTGTCACTTCTCCGTGGGACAAGGGTCGCTTCTTCGTGGGACGAGGGTCGTTTTGGCGAGGGGCGGGGGGCGGGGGGCGGGGGGAGAGACCACTGCCAAGCGCACCGTCTGGCAGCAGCGGAGGTTGAGGTCCTGTTGACCTTTTTCTGAACTAGCCAGTTTTTGTAGTCCGACGAGCCCGCTCCAACGGCTCGCCGAAATGCACCCTGCCCTGCAATCAATAAACAATAAATCACAAACGACACAGCGAACTCCGACTTCCGGTGAACCCCCATTTGACACGAACGCTCACTCATTGTTCCTCGGGACAATTTTGCCCTACCCACGTCGATTCACCTGTCATTTTCGATCTCGAAGGCTTTCTATGTTCAGCCTTCTAAGGGGGGAGCTCTGTAGCGCCCAAAAAGATAACTGCTATTTTTCATGTACAATTTAATGTTTGACCGACTGTACATTATTCTTTCTTGGTTTAATTTTCCTTACAACCTCCTCGACACTCGACCGTCTTGTAAGTTCCTGCGCTAACGTGTACCACGTGTCTTGCTTCATCCGTCCGCGTCTTCTTGTAGCCCATAGAATACCGTCCGCTGTGTCCGACTCCAACTACCTTCTGATATCCGCGCTTACTTTCGCGCATCGTCACGGATTGGTATTTACTAGTCCTACAGTTTGCTTATGCGTACAGCTCATTGGCCACTAATAATGGCTTAAAAGCTAATACGAGTAATGACGCATCTAGCTTTCTCGGTGACCTGGGTTCAATAAATGTTTCTGAGTACTGAGATACCTTAATCTGTCGATTTATCTGGTTCTACCAACTTTTAATTCATCTACTTTTGCGTACACTTTTTACCGTCGACGCGCAGTCATCGGTCGGTGAGCTAATTAAGGTTGTATCTACAGCCACATTCACATTTGTATAAAGCAATAAATAAATGTTGATGAGTGCTCTACTTGGTAACTCCAAGTCAGACATCTACCTCGTTTCCGGAAGACTACTAGACGATCGTTTCTTCCTACGAGCGTGCGTCAGTAGGGTATATTCCCTGGTCTCACCAAAGACCAGTTCCAGCTACTTCTGAATACTGGCAAATTACGCCACTAAACAGCGGCTTATTCTACTAGGCTTCAGCAGCCGGCGTCTAAAGGTCATTGAATTCGGTTCCTCATAGACCAGTGCTGAAGAATCACGGCACGATGGGACTAACGTCTGATGCTTTTGCAGGCGTGTAGAAGACTGTTTAACTAGGAGCTGCTGCGAATAATCTTCAATAGTATCCTATCAAAAGCCCTTTACATGTATTAAATCGAACAGAATATTTCTTTGCGATAATCTCGTCCCATAAATGGTGAGATCCAGGGAAGTACAATTGTTTCTCACTCTCGCATAGAAAACTACTTAATTATATTCGTATACATAGATCAACAGATGGGGAACATGGGTATCGGAAAAATGAAAACCATCTTTAGATTTATTGATTTGAGGGCTTTTTTTATCTCTCGGGCGGGCAACACTCAATATCATCGTTTCATCGTTTACCGTCCCAGCGATCGAATTGATCAAGATACACTTCACTGCGAATCGTGGTCCGTGAACATGTATTTTCGACCAATACATGAATGGCCCAAAGCCTGGCCATTACATAATTTCGCCGAGATTTAGCAAATATCCTGGCGTAATATTGTAACAATAAGCACTTTCAACGTAAAAACTTTGGTCGGAATCGCTCGCGAATGTGTGAGTATGCGTTGTTACTGTGAAATGTTTCGTGACATTGCATCGTGCATGTAGGTGTCGTGCGCTTTAGGGAATCCCCTTATGGTAGACGCACGCAAGTTGAATTTGTCAAGTTTGGTGAGTCCACTGTGCGTCGCAGTCTATTCACACAACGATAACGCAAAAATGACCATCGCCTCAGTCATTCGCCGCTGTGCTAAACGTTGCACATCTTGACACGGTGGCTAAAGAGGTAGAGTTCCCAAGTAACATCCCAGTGGTCTTGCGTTCCAGGCCTACTACCTGTATCTGAAGATATCAAATATGGTTAAAAATCGTTGTGGATTACAGTGTTTTCCGGTGGGTAATGCACAATATCCATTTTCCTCGATTTGCTAATCCCTTAATATTCATTTTAGTACACATTTCCTGTATTTAGACCCACCCGTTTCCTTTGAAACTCCGAATGCTCATATTGAGTTAATTGCTTTCGTAGATAACATTGGTACGTTTCAAAGAAGAGATCATCCGGTTTAACCGAACGAGGTATATGAAAATACTACAACCACGTACCGGCACCATGGGGTAATACAAACCTTTATACAGTGGCTCCGTTATTTATTTTGGGAGCTATTGAGGTCGACTTACGCATGTCTCCGCGTCAATGTTTAAGTAAGAACACAAGATTCATCTACAAAAGGCACACATCACTACTTTACATAAGAGGATCATTGATATTTTACGCATAATTAATTCGGAATGACAAGCATACATTAGGTAATGTACTTGATGAATATGGCTTCACTTTCAAGCTAAATCTTGCCCTGATACTGCCGCTGAGCAGACAAACACGTAGAAGCGGAGTTAATCCATTTTCCCTTTTTCGAATTGCATCCTAACCTGAAAACTCCTCCAATTTGGCATGACCGAGGTAGGACAGCGATTAGTAGTAGTGAGGCAGAGAACGGAGAGCTGAGGTCTCGGTTTACTTTTGCTTTTCAGCTTCTACATTGAGACATGCGCTACCTCGTCTTCAGTAATATCACCGGACACATAAGCAATGAACTTGTAGATATTAGCAGCCGTAGTTCCGCTGCATTATGTGCGTCGTCTCAGTTAGGCGTTTATCCTACTCGATTTGGCTCGAGATGGTAGCCGGTTAGCTGTCAGCTTCTGTCGTACCGTTGTTGTTGGATTCGGCTTTGGTCTACCATTGAGGCACGTTGTGAACTGCAACGCATAGTCTTCGCATCACGTAGTACGAGGCAAACTTTATCTATGTTATTTCTCCAAGTTCCTCGTAACGTCAAACATCTGTACTTTATGACTAAATGTGAACATCCATGGGTATAAGGCTATGCAGTGTACTTCACTGAAACACTGCACACACAGCTAGTGGATTCACTAGTCTGCTTTACGCCTTCATAGATTGTTCGATGCTTGTTGGTGACTGTAATCTCATGATGTTAACCACTGAACGCTAAAGGACCCATGCGGTACATTTAAATCAGTAGAATGAGTACTGTATACAAAAATTTGAAATTATTCACCATTTTGCCTCTACGACAAACCCCATGCGACACTGACAGACAAGATGGCGGTAAGGGAGACGATTCGTCCTTAGTCCGCAATGGGTTACGACCAAGTGGTGTTGTGGCTGGACTCACTGTACTCACCTTACTTGATATACATCACTGATGTTTCCCCCTATGTTATCCGGAGTTAAAAACGACTTGTCATAAGTGTCCACTTCGACACAAAATTGAACCTCTACAATTCGGTTGTTGTTGTTGTTGTTGAGTCCCCGAGCGTTTTGTGGCCAGCACTTGGCAGCAATTCGTTAAATGAGCCTACATACTTAGATGAATTTGCAGTTATTCAATGTACCAGGCTACACATTCTGTATAGCAAGTAATTTCGAATCTTGAGACGCTAGAGGAACATGATGATGTGGTCCATTATTTTCACTCCCTGAGCACGTGGCATCGTGCGTTTGCCTTCCGCTGCGCAGCAGCTGCTTTCTTGCTGTAACGATTCCCCACTTTTCTGGAGCCCTGCGAAATTCGCAAACAAGGTAAATTACTATTACCATGGTTCGCATGCCTTACAATGAAACAGAGTGAACACAGTCTGCACCCGTTAAGTATGGCATCAGCCGTGTTGGTATCATCCCATGTCATCTTACTCTGTCACGTTTAAGTCTTAGTTGCACATTGGGGCTGTTGGTGAGCAGAATCGATTCGATAATTCAGAAATTTTTCTATCTCCCAGTACACATACACGAAATTCCACCTGTCCTTTCCCATTTCTCGCTAGCACAAAGCTGTTCGCTGCTGTAAACGTGTGCAGCTATGCTACAACCTACTAAACACCATTTTGGGTGATATTTGCATATGACACCATGAAATAGCTAGGTCCTTAGCTCTTTCATGCCTCAAATGGTATGTTACTGGTGTAGTGCACAACTACACTAGCAGTTTCCTGGATGTGTGATGGCTGTTTGCCTGAGTCTAACAGCGACGAATCTTCCCAAAAACCAGATAACCCACCTAGGTGGTTACCTAGGGAGCATGTCAAATATGCGACCCACAACTTTCCTCGTTTTCTGGTTGCCCCACGATAGATATGACGGATCACACGGGGCCGCGCTAATTTAGTTCCCTGCTAGAACAATAATATGTCATGATTACTAATACATGGCTACCCACGAAATTACCCAATTGTCACCTACAGCTTTTGAGGGAGCAAGTTAATGCAAGCGCTGTGGATTTTAGCAGCGATCGATGAAATCGTATCTGCTGGAAGTGGTGTTTACATCAACCAATCATGTATCTAGGGATGATGGCTGGTGTGATTTCTGTTATTAGCAATGCGACTATTTAGACATATCACTTGACGGGATTGGTCCACCGGATGTGTGTTGTGATTTATATGCGATTAAAGCAAGCAGTTAGTGCGCCAGTACGATGTACTTAAATCGTTGTCGGTAGTTCCGCTGGAAAGACCGAAAGATGTTACCCGGACTGGTCATTGCTCTACTTGGCCCCTTCTTGCTACTGGAACCATGCCACACTCTTAGATTGGCCACATTTAACATCCAGGTGCTTGGAAAAAGAAAGATAGAAGACGATGCGGTCGTTTCCAGCCTCATCACGGTAAGTTATATACCCTGCTTATCAAATGATCGGGGATACCATCAGATCCTAAGCAGGTACGATGTCGTGTTTGTGCAAGAGATCCGGGATTGCAAGGGAACTGCGTTTTCCAGACTAGTGGATGGCCTGAGCAGGTTTGTTTATAATCCTATCTATCGTGATCACTGACCGTGTTTTTAAGAGAGACGCATAGCGAATTCGGCTACAACGTGAGCCGGAGACTCGGAAGATCGTCATCACAAGAACAATATGGGGTATTATACAAGTACGTGTTCCACCCGTTCTAATGCCGTAGGGCAGCATTCGCTACACACTTGTGCTGATATTGGGGCTCTTGACTCCCTCCCTTAATGAATACCGTAAAATGATGTTTACACATGTGAGCTTAATGCACATGGCATAGGCGCTGATCACCATCGCCTTGCCTGGTGATCGGCTTTATATGATGGACCCGGAAGAAATGGTCTTTGTTTTAAAAGTTAACTTTGTTCAGCTCAACTTTTGTGCTTCATCCTTATGTTCTGCTGTTTGGTGGGCTGGATAACATGCGACGCTCCTGTATATTACTATTTCCCGGTTTAATAGAATTATGCCTCTACACAGCGTAGCAAACTCCCTTGCTATGTTTTTGTAGACTTGGTTTAATCGAAGTTATCGCATCGTATCAAGATCCCGATCCGACCGACAAGTTCCAACGGCCGCCTTACAGTCTACTTATCAGAATGCTAGGAACCAGTGAGTTTCGCTGTACTTCCCTATGAACACAAAATAACAACTTCCTTTTACCTTCTTGCCTCAGAAGTAGAACACACCGTCGTGACGAATGTGCATATCGAGCCAAAAAATGCTTTTTCTGAAATGGATGCCCTCTACGATTCGGTACTTAAGGTGAAGGAAATGTTCAAACAACCAGTAAGTGCGAATTATTTCACTGAAACAGTTTTACCAAACACCGTAAGCTGTTTTTTTAAAAAAAAAGAGTAATGGAAAATAGCATTTCGACCGAATTTCGAAAGCGATTCATTGCAGCTACATCCTATCAAAGTTATCGCACACGGGATAAAGCACTAGACAGTCGTTTCCTCCTTTAGAACTACGGTTGCCAAACGTTTTTCAGTGGGGCGGATGACTGAGAACAATGATTAGTGCGGGCCCGATAACTAACCAAATGAACCACATTAACATAATGCACAATACTTGTTAACCAGAATGCAAATACTAAACTAAAGAACAGAACGCAACACTCGATTCTTTTATTAACCTTAAATAAGGATGAAATTTGGGAATCTGAATCAGAAACCAACGTTGAACTTCATGCTTATCAAAAATCCTACTAGAACACCGAAAAAACTAGGACTACGGATCATAGGTGTAACTATGGCTGTCCGAAGGTACACATAAAGTTCGTAGGTAACTTCCGTAATAGAATAGGTTACATAATAAGGTATATATATATATATATATATATATATATATATATACCGTGTAGGCGTGAGCAAGGTGTTTCTACCGGAGTCAAATCGACAAGCAGGGATGGAACTGGATAACGGTACGACTTGCATGCAATTCGTTATATCAATTGTATGTAACTCCACAGTTTACGCTTCCACTGGAATTCCTTAGCAACGACTTGCAAGTAACTTCAAATAACTATCAAATATGGGTTCAAAGTGACACATACAGGTTAACAGCATCTTGGTACGCGGGATTATACATATACACACATGTCAAGTGGGCTAAGCATCCCGAAAACTGTTAGGTAGATTAGTGAATTTAATGTGTGTTCACTCTCTGCAATGTTCTAATGATCGCAGCTAGTGCGATGGCACGTTGTCATATGTGATTATCATGAGCTGGTCCACGCTAGCGATCGAGAACTATAAAGTCATCAACAATGCGACGCGTATGGTCAAGCGTACATTGTAGCACAACACTTCTTGTTCCATTAACTGAATACTGAGAAATTGTAACGAGTAAAGATGCCGCTGTGTAGCTGCATCTAACATTTTTCAAGCGAATCTACCTATTATTATGGTGAGTATTATCGAAATCTTAAGTTGGCAAAGTGCGAGTCCAGAAGTTTCTTAAACTCCGACACCGACTTTGCTTCAGCTATGTCTGCAGACAGGTTGTTTTAAGCTCGCCATGACCATCGTGTGATCACTAGCTCCAAGGGGCTCAAAGACCTGAACATCACGTACTTGTTGACTGCAGCTGGTCAGCAACAGGTCAAAACACGATGGACTCGAGCGCGCGATAAGCCGCGTCGGCTGTTTTATGTGATGTGAGGCCCCAGTTTGAAACATCATCTCAGCAAATTTTGTCTCGACTTCGTAGTGGCCGGAGATAAGCTCGACCTCGGGCCAACGTATTCGAGGAAGGTTGTAATCGCCCATACGCAGGAATTGTGGACGACTCATGCGGTTGTACACTTGAGGCAACCAGTCCAAACTGCGGGCTCATTGGATGGCGATACACAACACCCACTAGATGTTCGCTGCCTTAGGTGGATCGAACACCATAACTGCTCCTACAGGCCATCGCTGCGCAAGCACAGCTCTCCTAGAGTTTATAATTTACACACGAAATCGCTAGCGGCAGTAGGAGAGAGTTAAACTGAGCCTCTGGCTTCGTTCTTTTAAAACTGTTTCGAAGAGATGTCCGTGCCCGACATGTGGAAACAAGGGATGATTACTCCTAGTCACAAGGGAGGCAGTCGTTCCAACCCAGCCAACTACCGGCCCAAAAGCTTACTACAGGTTCTTTCAAAGCTCATGGAAGCCATTATTTCTGATGCGTTAACGGTCTACTTGGAAGAATTTCACTTCTCGCACCGGAACTGCATAGCTTCCGACGAAATCGATTGTGCATTACAAATCTATTGCTAATACCATCCAGCTGGTCTGAACCAGCAGACTCTAGCACAGGAGTTGATGTAGTCTTTCTCGACTTCTCAAAGACTTTCGACCGGTTAAACCATAACAATCTGTTCTTCAAACTCCACGCCTTTGGTTTTGGTGATAATCTCCTAAGATGGATTAGAAGCTTTCTTCTGCACCGGCGGCTGGAAGTACGTGTGCGTGAATCCCTGTCAGATCCCATCTGAGTTAAATGCGGAGTACCACAAGGAACGGTACTGGAACCGCGATTATTTGTGACGTGCGTTACCGATATCACACGCCTCATAAGCTCGAACTGCCTGATTTATGCCGATGACATTAAGGTGTAGAGGGCGATAAATACACTAGATGATATCCCTACTTCAAGCTGATCTGGATAGGGTATACGGGTGATCCACCCAGAATCTACTTCGATTCAAGGTGAACAAATGTAGAGTGCTGCACCTACGGCACAAGTTGGTGCACTTCTACAAATTCGGCAACCAGGAGCTTCAAATGCATTCTGGCGAGAAGGATCTGGGAGTTTTAGTATAGGTCGACATAAGGTGTTCAAGGCAGGCTGAAACGGCGTCTAAGAGGGGTATCCAAAATTTGGGCCACATGAAGTGTGCATTTGGACGAGTTGACCCTTCGATTTTTCCATAACTCGGCTCATACATACGGCCACATGTGGAATACGCAATATTGGTCCGGAAGCCATGGCTGAAGAGAGCTCTCATCGCCTTGGAGATACCCCAAAGCCGGGCAATTAAGAATGTCAAGGATCTGTGTAATTTGCCGCATGAACGAAGGCTACAAGTGTTCGGGGTCTTCAGTGGACAGTATCGACAATTGCGCGATGACCTCATTTTGACTTATCAAATTTTGAGAGATCCCAACCACACGTGCCGCTTCTTACTAGAGCTCAGTCACAACAGCAATTTGAGAGGTCATCATCTCAAACTGGTAGAGCAGCACAGTCGCTTGGAATGCCGTCGGAATTTCTTTTCTGTACGCGTTTCCCGTACGTGGGATGCTCTACCGGAATATGTCATTTGTGCACACACGCTGGCAGAGTTCAAATTCAGCGTTGACGGTGCACTTATTTCGGTGAACCATCTTACATGACCCATTACCCATGGATAAAAATTAGTGTCTGTAAGCGATTTCGCTGGCAGTCACAGTGTAGATTTCGTTCCAAGTTTTTCACCTCCTCTAAGTGTACACCAGAAGGAGACGCGATTTTTACCAACATCCCATTTGCCGTCATTTGTTATGGATTTACCTTTTATTTGCAGTCTACACTACGTATACTTCAATGAGTTCACTGGTGTAAACCCAATTTTGCTGACAATTTTTTAGAGTTTGTAGTTTCACCATAAGCTTCCTACGGGACTTGTTAAGCCTTAGCCTTTTTACCCGTATAAAACCATTGCACCATTGTTCCATTGCTCCTGTAGATGCCCACAAGTCTCCCGCACATGGAAGACCGTATGTATAGCAACACACCACCGTGGTCATTTGATAGCCTGTCACAGCGGAAGCAAGAATATTCGCTGAATTTGCCTTCTTGTGCAGTTATCTCTGAATTTAACCAAGTTCAAGCTAGGCTCAATACTTCTGGTTGCCGACAGGCAATGAAGTGATAAACATTGTCAAGTTTGCTCCTTAGACTACAAATGTTTGTAAAGGCTACACGAAGGCCGCGGTAAGAACCGTCGGGCGCGCATGAAGCGTTAGTGACCTGTTCATCCGAAGTTAGGGAGGAGTCCGGGCAACTATTCGAAAATTTACAATGCGATTTGTTTCCCCGCCTTTAGTGCGCCGTTTAAGTTCAATCATTGCTGACTTGAGTTTTTCTCCGCCTGCTGGATCCATGCCTGCGCCCACATGGCTCTTTAAACCCTTAAGTCTACCGAGGCGCAATAATGTCAACCAGCTTTGTCAACAAAAGTGACCCTCACGGGTCGAACATTTTCCTCAGATTTTTTCCAAGCCCAGGGCTTTGCTTCACTTGCAACCTGTCTTCACTGACGTGGAGCAGTCTATCAACCACACACTGCAGAAACTCGACGTAGTTTAGTGACCCCTGCTTCACATTGTCGTCCACGTTGCGCATTCCAGCTGATCCCCGTGTGACCCATGACACTACTCCTATTAGTAGGTGGATAAAACCGCTGGTTACAGAGAATGTGCAGCAGCTCTAATAAACAGCGAACCAGCTGCGATGTATCGCGATAGTGATCCTCAAATACCATGCTCACTTTCGACATGTAGAGAGTAGAATTGGTCGTCTGAGATGAAACTTACCTTGCTGGCCCGTCATCGTCTGGTGATATTATAAGCCAGCTTGGACAAATACTGCTTCTCAGAAGTGCGATACACATTGGCTTTACCAAGGAGCTTCCTATCGGTAAGCTGTTGAATTCGGACTGGGTTCTCGCGTTTACATCTAGTCTACTCAGCTGGATTACGCACAGGTTTGCCGGCGACTGGAACTCTAATGATGGACTAGTTTGTCTTAACTCTCGCAGACGTGGTAGTCTAAGGTAACAGCGCAAGAACAAAAAAAGTGATAAAATATCACTATATGAGCAAACTGGAAAATATGAAAAGTGTGTACATGAATTTGACCACCCGTCTCCACTGCGGCTTGTCAGGCTGGCTGTTTACACACGAACATGGCGTTCCCCGGAACCTCTATCACCGAAGACAACCTGCATCTACACGGCTCATTATTTCGACCGCACCATCCATTTTATCCTTTTATCTTCTGGTAACCGTCCAAGCGTTTTCTGCTTGTTAAGCGGTTATCATGCGTTCTTGACCGTTGTCCTGACTTCGTATCCAACTGGATCTCGGTGTAGCCACAAGCTTACACACTGTGAAGGAGGATTTGAAGATTCTGTACATCACTTCACTGGTAGTCACCTGACGAGAGTTCGGCATCTGCATCACGCCGAAATTGCCGTTGCTGGGGGTCCGAGAGCGGTAGAACAACGTGGCACACTCGAATGAACTTTCCCTCACGTTTGAATCATGTCGACTGACAACTCCGTGAACTGCTGCAGTCGCAGACATTGTATTTGTTTGTGTGTTTGGGTGTGTAAATGCGTTATGATTTCCACCTTGTACGTATTCATTCAGCGCTTATTTTTTCGTATTGTTTGCCTGAATCATGGGAAATTCTAGTGAGGGCTGGGTCAATCCACCAGCCATCATGTGAGAACCCCTAATTGCAGACGATGAAACGAATGCAAATTTAGGTCGGCGGCATTCGGCTCGAATCTGGGCATTCGCATTAGAAGAGGATTGAACAGCTGATCAACTGACCAAATATTTGAATTTGTACATACATATTCATACATGAATGCGAATCAGTTGTACTACTTGGTCTGGCCCCACGTGAGATCGACTTTACGCGAAGTCGATAAATACATCTGTTTGTCTATATAAGCACTTATTAGCTGCATGTTTTTCTTACGTGTACCGGGTGACTTATGAACGAATGCCTGCTAATATTGTTTACACCGCACACCACATGTCAGCTTCTCCTACTTGGGGACATGAACGCCGACTGCAGTTACTTGTCGGATAAGAAGAAGTCGGAATTGAGACTGAAGGCAGATCCAGATTTCCGTTGGCTGGTGCCTGACGATGAAGACACCACCTTGGGAGAAAAAGACTGTGCATACGATCGGTGAGTTGTGCATTTCCTTCTACCTGTACATGACTACGTGAACACTGTCTTCTGGGTGCCGGTGCCATCGACTCGGTTAAGCAATGTTCTGAAGGCGGTGATTTTTCGGGATGATAATCTATTTGATTTTCTCAACAGATAGCTCATTTTCTGTTCAAAGCGTTCTGCGGCTCACAAAGTGTCCTACGTTGTCCAAGATCACCTCAATGTTATCTTGCCTGAAGGTCCAACCACAACGAAATATGAGATGAACTGATGTGAGCTGTTAGGTTTACCACCTGAGCTTCAGTGCAACAACTCCAAGGCCAACTTATCAATCACGGTGACAACCCATGTTCCACATCTCTTGTGCAGGATTATCGTTAGTGGTTGGGACCGCGACTGGTATAATGAATCGAGTATTCGCCCTTACAAGTTTGACCAGGAATTGGATATGGACATAGAACAGGTGAGTTTTTTGATAAACAACATTACCGCACCGGTCACATTTGCTTAATTGGATTGAGTATGCCAGTCGTTTTCACCCCTTACATCCTCACCACTACCTCGTGCCCTCCGATCTCATGCATTGGGATCATCATTTTGCAATATGCTGCAGTATACTATCTGTATGTCATTCACAGGCAAAGAAGGTGAGCGACCACTACCCGGTTGAAATGGAAGTACACTGAGCAGACGACGGGGTGGCCCAGTGAACTTGTATTCTCAGCAACATTTCTGTATAAGCTTGTTGTTATTGCCACTGAATAATGAAGTACACGTATGTGATCGCATACTCTTCAAGTTTGTTTGCCTAGAAGAAACGGCCTTTTGATTAAAACTTTCCATATTGATCACTTAGGGCGGGTCTCTTAGTCGTACACAACTTGCATCTCATTGGACTCTCCCTAGGCCGGTGTGTACTGGAGCAGTCGCTAGAGATGGACACGTTTCTTCTGCAGGTGACTCAGGAACCTGTAAGGTCACCCAGGTGTGAATAAGGTTGAATTTTCATCCGAGCTTTTCTACGCAGTATTCATTAATATCGTACCCAAATAATGACCAGTGCTAAATGTGTGCAACTCGCGTTGAATTCGTCAAAATCCATCCTGTCGGGCAACTATCATGCACCGGGTCAAGAAACTTGAGAACCTACTCAGCGGATTGATCAGTGTGTACAAGTTAGGCGAACTCAATCTCATGACGCCCCTGTTTGAAGAGTGGAAATAGGAAGGCGTCCATATCTCCAAACCCGTATATTTGCCATTTATTTGCTGCCATGCGCACAAATTTTTGAGCCAGAGATTTTTGTTAAGAACCCTTATCGTTCCCTTACCTTGGTATGGGCGCGCTGGCAGTGTCACAATCCATTTACAACAATGGGCAAATGAATTTATAATCAACTTCAAGCGGCATCCTTCATCAGTCTTTTCGCAATTTCAAAAGGATCGCCATATCTGCGGTATACAGCTGTGCAGATAAGCGAAAACATGCTACTACTGGCGTTTCCCTTCTTTCTTTGCTAAGTGTTTCCATTCATCTTGTCCATACCCCCATTTCTAGCGTACCTTCTGCAATCCACAGCATGTTTGACGGAACTTGCAGTGTCATTGGAGTTATCCAATCTTATGACTCACGTCACAAATAGATCCTTTTTAGGACATAGTCCTGTTTATGTGGTAGCGTTCAACGTTCACACTCTAAGGCAAATAGTTCACTGGGCCTCACCCACACTGGATTTACTCAATTTTGTTATTCTGCCGCGTATTTTGTATCGGTTTTGCGTGTTTGCTTACCCTCACATTCTATGTTGGTTATTTGATATCCTCGGTGTGGCTGCACTTGGTGTGAACGTTGACAAGGTGTCCACGTGTCTAACCCCTTCACCTCGATTACTGGCTCCCGGAGACTGCGATTTATTGCTGGGTTGATGAAGTTCACGGTCCTCTAGCCATGTCGTGCTCTTAGAGTGGTTCCACACATCCAGCGTGGAGCAAAGTACGGCCCAATCACTGCCTTATATGGGTCTCAGACGTCTGATTCCAAAAGTAGATAGACACGACTGCTGCTGCTGTGCATGTTGAAGCAGTGTGGGTCGGCCCTGTTGATGAAACTTGGCTCCCATCCACAAGCCAACATGTCTTATCCCTTCTGTTTTACATTGGATATGTGGGGGGTGGATGGGGCTGTCAGTGGTGCACACATGACAGTCGTGGTCCCTGTGTAGGCGCAATCATCCTGTGGCTGTCTTATGGAGGCCGCAGTGAGAGGCTAATCCGGAATCGGATGTCGCCAACCATGTGTGACCGCAACTAGTATAAATTATCTCGCGCAGTTTTTAAATCAACTGCTTCCGTCTTGTGCTCACACTACCGGTTTTACGCATTAGATGATGCTGCCGCAGTAATTACTGACCAAATTGGAGTGAGCGTCTTGCTCAACTTAAGGCTGAACCAGCTATGATTACTTGGATTCTCATGAACAGCCGTTTGTGAGCAGTCTGTTTGACATCGTCAGCCAAATGCCATCTATTTGGTATTACAGCTTGTGGCCCCACGGATTGCAGCCCTGAAGGTTCACTTCCTACAATGATCTTAACACGACGCTTTGCGATGCGGACATCGTTCTGATTGCAAGGGATATAGATGGATAACTGGGTCGTTTGAAGTTTTCGGAGTCTCAGGTACGGAAGCAATTTTGTACTTAACCCTAAACGTACAGACAGTGGCGAGTATTTTTGCAAATGTACACCGGGCACCGATGATATTTCAGTAGTACACACTTTAAACATAGTGGGTATTTCTTTCGAAAGCTAGCACCAGATGGACTCAAAGGGAATATTACCGCAAGCCACCGATAGCAAAGCCCTATGCTCGGCTGTTGCTCCTTTTAGTACAAGTGTGTAGATTCTGATCATATGTTGGTTCGGCGCCGATTTTCTAGGAAGTTCGCCAGCGAATCGTATCCAGTTTTCGACTGACAAATGAGATGGCAGTGTGATTTTTAGAAACGTCCCAGAATCCACTGTCGTTCTGTCCATCGAGCGCATGCTTGCTTATCTTGGTCAGCTTAATGTTTGCGTGACCAGGCTTCTATCACCAGGTTCCCTTGGAGTTACTGCCAGGTATCTCATCAGGCTGGGGAACGTTCCGGTTAGTAAACAAGCTCCTCAACTTTGTCTGCTTAGAGTGGTTCTCTCCCCCCCCCCCAGAAGCACACAGCGCGTTAATATGCTTTGCCTTCAAGTTCATAGGTAGTAACATTAGTGAACAACAAGACCTACCGTTGGCGGATAGGTTAAAGGTAAAGGAAGCCATCGGAGACCTTAAAGACCGGCGTGCAGCTGGCTAGCGGCGTGTCCGATTAGTGGGATTTCAGGTGGTCAACTGCGGTCATTTTCCGCTCTGTCAGAACCTCTTCTACTTGCGCAAGATCCAGGGCTAGTCGTGCCGAAATCTTCCAAGTAGTACTTAGTAACGTGCGCAGCCTGCGGAACAAGATGCGCGAGGTGGATCTGCTCGTGGACAACGCCCGTCCAGATATACTTGCTTTCAGTGAAACCTGGTTGTCTGCGGAAATCGCATACGGCGAATTATATCTGCCTGACTATGTATTGCTTCGCGCTGACCGCTCTACTTGCCGGCAAGAGGGTTGCATAACTCTTTAGTGTTATTACTTATATATATTGAGCAGCAGCGTTTTTCAGTTTCTCGACAAACCTGATGAGGTTCTCGCAGCCTTGTTTTGCGCTTCATCGGCTCGGTTTACGGTCGCATTAGTGTACAGAATTCCTGTGTGACTCTCAAAGGGGATCACTGAGTTTATACGTACGCACGCTGCGTACAGGTGTGTGGTTCAGCGTGACTTCAACCTTCCAGAGATGTGTTAGGTAGATCTATCGTGTAATCGTTGGGTGCAGGACTACGGGACTTGACGCTGCAAGTACCACTACACCAGTTGGTGCACTTCCACACGAGGTACATTAGTAAGCAGCAGCCGCCAATATTAGATCTACTTTTTGCTAAACCATTTGGATTTGTAAATGCCATTACTTACGACTCGCATCTTGGCGCAGGCGATCACGTCTGCTAGCCTTTTCACTGTGTTTTTATAAGGTATTGTCATGTTACTAGCATTTGGTATCAGAACAGTTGGGTCGCGAAGTTTCGAGCGATGCGGGATAAGGCTCTAACATCGCTTTGTATGATCTCTTTGACAGACACTTTGCACGTAGCCTGGGAAAAGTTTAAGGATTACCTCATCGACATTAGTGCACCTCACTGGTGAAAAGAAGGGAATCGAGAGCGTACCTTGCGTAGATATTTTCCGCGAGAAGGGGCCTGCTGAAGAATCAGTCTAGGTACTGGCGAGCATATAAAACAGCTCTGTAGGGCAGCATGTTTGACAGGCACTGGTTATTTCGGAATGAGTGCAAGTTAGGTATTGCACTTGCTCGGCTTTAGTATGAAGATGGCTTAGCTGATACCCTCCACAAATCCTAACGAGTTCTTCGCCTAGGTTGAAGGACGATGTGGTGCAAACTCACCCATCCCAGCATTGCTTCGAGGGGATGGGACCAATGCTTATAGTGACTACAACAAGGCATGCGTGCTTGATGAACAGTACTCAAGCGTTTTTGTCCATGAAACAAATACGCCACGCGGTGCACTAGTCTCAAGCATCGCTGAGGACTCTTGTCTGGATGCAATCAGTGTAAATGCTGTAGGATTAGTTAATACTAGCCCGAGACGGTGCGCGAAATTAAGCGCGGATATCAGAAGGCAATCGGAGTCGGACACAGCGGACTGTATTCGAGGGGCTACAATAAGAAGCGGACTGGTGAAGCGAGAAGAGAGCGAACACGTGAGCGCGGGAACTTACAAGGCTGTCGAGTGTCGGGCCGGTTGTGAGGAAGATTAAAACAAGAAGGAGTAATGTACAATCGGTCAACAATTAAATTGTACATGAAAGATAGCAGTCATCTTTTAGGGCGCTACAGAGCTCCCCCTAGAAGGCTGAACATAGAAAGCCTTCGAAACCGAAAAGGACTGTTGAAACGAGGTTCGTAAGGCAAAATTGTGCCGAGTAAAAATGAATGAGCGTTCGTGTCAAGTGGGGGTTCGTCGGCAGTCGCAGTCCACTGTGCCGTTTGTGATTTGTTATTTATTGATTGCAGGGCAGGGTGCATTTCGGCGATCCGTTGGAGCGGGCTTGTCGGACTACAAAAACTGGCCAGTCCAGAAAAAGGCCGATAGGACCTCAACCTCCGCTGCTGCCAAACGGTGCGCTTGGGAGTGGTCTCTCCCTCCGCCGCATTCCGCCCCGCGCCAAAACGACCCTCGTCCCACGAAGAAACGACCATGGCCCCACGGAGAAGCGACGCTCATTCCGCGGAGAAGCGACCCTCATCCCGCGGAGAAACGACAACCGTTCCCTGGAGAAGCGGCACTCGTCGCGCGGAGAAGCGACCAGCATTCACGCCAGGATCCTCGAAAACGTTTCTCGTGTGGGCCAGTCGATCGAAAGGGAGGGTTTGGGGCATTTAGAGACGAGAAAATAGAACAACACGCGCAGAAAACGCCAAAAGAACAAATAAATGATCTGCATGTTTAAATTTTTTTTGGTTTTTGAATATTTTTCGAAAAAGGGTTTTCGGAGGTTTTTGATATTTTTGTTTGTTTTCAAAACATTAATCGACCAAAAATGGGGAAAATATATACAATATCTACAAAGTTAAACAAATTTACTCTGTACATAGTCGGAGAAACGAACAGGCTTACGCACCTCCCGACCACGGCTATTGGTCGTGGGAGGCGGCGGGCCAGATTCGGGAGATGTTGG